GCCTTGGTGTGGGAGTGGAGGCGACACTTTCACCTTGCTCTCCTCAGGCTGCCCGTGGTCACCTCCGCTGTTCCTGTGTGTCGCTTCCTCTCGTTCCCATGTGTTGTCGCAGGTGCCCTGTTGATGGGGGCGGGTCTCTGCACTGGGGCTGTGCTGTTGGCCCATGTCACATCCCTTCTTTCACGCTAGGCTGCGTGTGCAAGCGTCCCCTTCCCCCTCCCCTCACCAAGGCTTTTCCCAGTGTTGTTAACCGTGAGTCTCTCACTCGTTTCTTTCAATCATTAACAGAAGTAGAGTGAGAAGTGTGTTAGCTCTCCTGGGCTATCTCTTGGTTTGTTGTTTCAGTCTGGCCTGAAGTTCAGGGTTACTTGCTCTGTCTGAGGCATTTAGTCCATGTTGCAGTGTGGAGCCAGCTGCTGGGTTCTGGACAGAACAGGGCAGGGGAAGTGGCAGAGTTGTCATGCTCACCTGTGGGCCTTGTTTTATGGGAGGGCTAAAACGGTGCTTAGTACATACTGAAGTTCTTCACTATTTTCTGGGGTTCTGCTTCTTCTAAAACTTCTTCCTAACACCTTTTATGTCTCTGTTTTTTCATATTTGTCCTTTGCCTTTCTACTTCTCTGGATTTGCTTCTCCTGCATGAGTGTGTGATTATTCTGTGGTCTACACTGAGACTGTGGCTTTCTTCATGACTGCTGCTTTTTTAATGTGAAGTTGTAAAGATCAGCTTATGATTATCTTGTTAGCCTCTTACTATTTCAGTGTGCAGAACAGAAGGAAGAGCAAACTTAAGACTCTGCCTTTATTTTGTTTCATTAAGAAATCCTTAAGAACTTTTTTTCCTTGGAATTGTTTTTCACCTGTTGTTTGTTAAAATCTGCTTTTTGAGTGTCCACTTTCTTTGACTGTTTTTTTTTCTTTTTTTTTCTTTTTCTAGAGTCATACTTTTATCCAGTGATATGGATATATAGGTAGATAAAAGCTCTGTAACTAGTATTGTGCTTTGTGTCACTCTTTATCAGAAATAACCATTTCCACTTGATGCTCTTGACCACTAGTAGGTGGTGTTACAGTCGGATCTTTCTCCTTTCTCACACATAGCTCTTCACTTTATCTATCCCCTATGAAAATTTGGACATGCAGGGTTGTATATGCAGCTTCAATAAGCAATTTGCCACCTTCCTGTTCCTCTCCTGCCTCTACCTCATGACCAAGCTGTGTGTTTCTGTGTTAATAATCCACTGGCAAGAATTCTCTCCCTGGATCATGATTTTCATTAAGTATTACACAAGGCTTTAGTTCCTCATACTTGCTTAGGTTAGTAAGTAAGTGTTCTGAAGGCTGATTCACTGTGTCCCTTTTGTCCTAATTGCAAGTGCTGCATCTCTCCTAATATTTAGGAGACGTTTGTCCAGCTCACTGGCTTTACGCTGAACTTTGTGGGCTTACATCTTCCACTTGAGGCCAGTTCTTTCTCCAGTTAGTACTTTCCCTAATTCAAGATGTGCTTTCAGTCCCTTTCTCTAGGTTCTTCAGCCCATTTTGAGTCTAAGTTGGCATCCAGTATGGAGTGGGAGAGCAGTCCTCTTGTATCTCTGGTAGCAAACAACCACACAATTTCTCACGTTTACAGTTCCATCCTCTTTTCTATTAACAGATTCAGGATGAGTTCAGTTTTGATTAATACAGATTTATTCTTAGTGTGTTTTTGTCTTGCCACAGGAGCTTCTTAGGCTGAGGGCTGTATTGTTTCTCCTAGTTCTCTGTTAAAATTCCATGTGGAATACGATGTTACAGTGTGGGGTTTTTTTTGGGGGGTGGGATATGTTAATTTGAGGATTTGATTGTTGCTTTTCCTTCCAGTTCTTGAGGCCAGGGAA